AATTTTGAGGGAGGAAGAGAGAAAACAAAGATTTTGAAAGTTCAAAATCAGCAGCAAAAACATTCTGCCCAACACGTTTTTGTTGGAGAATGAGAATTTATTTGCATTAAACACTGACACTGATTTCTAAAATAAATTCAGATACATAACCCCCACAAAAATTAAATTAGAATTAGTTCAAAATTAATTCCTAAGTATTAGAATTAATACTGCCAGAACAGTAATCAAAATAGTACTTCGAGCAGTACCCACGAATAGTTGCCTGAAGGTTACGAATGATCAACTATTCGGTCAAACAGAATAGTCAAATAGTCAATAGTTTGAATATAATGGTGACTACTCGTTCAATGTTCCAAATGGTAAAACAGAGTTACTCCAATAATTTGGAGTAACCTAACACGCCCATGCTCATTTTTGGATTTTTTTTGCACCCCACGCGCGAGAGAGCTTCTATGCTATACAATTCAACATGCCTCTAAAAGACTCGTGTATATATAGTGATGCAAACCTACTTCCCATCAATGTGGGACAAGTGCTTTTAGTCTTTCCACCTTCATTTTCCAACTCAAATGCATGTACTTTGAAAATTAATTTATCATTCATCCATTATCCGTTTTGAGCATACAATATATGAATTTCTTAGTCTTACTACTAAGAAATCGAATCTACTTTGACTAGACCCAAACTGAAAGCGGACGACCCACATATATATGTACCACAAAATAGCCACTTTCTATGTCATTTTATGCTAAAATTCTAATAAAAGCTAATTACAACGGTTTATAACTTTATTTTTCTTAAATCATCGATATGAACACTTTGAGAATCATTTCCTTATACACCTATCATACATTTCTAGCGTATACTATATCAAATTAAACATTTCAAGGGAACCTGACATGATATATATAATTTGAAAATATAATGTACCATACTCAAAACATTGACTCAAAATGGTCATTTTAACTTCCATTTAGATAATTTTCAAAGATATACTACATCATTCCCTAAATTTGTTTCCTTATTTTTGTGTGGGTAGGTGTTTAATAAGTAGAATCGTTTTTTTTTTTTTTTTTTTTTTTTTTTTTTTTTTTTGATGAGAAATTTGTAGTCATTACTTGATGCATGGTGTGCATAGAATAATCTCACTCTTTTGTAATAGACTGCAAGTCAAATTATATATGAAGACAATGTGCGACGGGTCCAACCAAAAAGATGTTGACAAGAATTAAAAATGTAATTAACCTTTAAATATGAGAATTATACTACATCCCCTTATAGTGAAGTTGGCCAATTATTGTGTAATGTATATATAATTTTATTGTCACATTGAAAATAGAAACATTAATAGAGGAAAACTGCCTTTTTTATTTTATTTTATTTTTTTTTAACATACAGAAATAGAGATTCCTCTTAACCGACTAATTATTCGAAGATTATATTTACATGTGGTGCACATAATATAAAAAAAATAAATTCCATGAACTTTATAATCAGCAATATAATTCCTCTGAAATGCCATTTACGGAAGTTTTGCACGTTAGTCATCTTCTTTATGCTATATTCTCACTTAACAATAAGCTCATAAAGGCTAATAGATAGTATGATTCCAGATTATATTCCATCTATATATGCACACAAAAGGGTATCCACCCACCCTACCACTCAATAATAGTACAAAAACATGAAGTGACATTGTAAACGATTAATGATGACAAATCTTAATTTTTGGAATTTTTATTAAGAAGGAGAAAGTCCGACGAACTAGAACAATAGGCGAGCACTTCATCTTTTTACGAAAGTGTTGGTAGGATTTTATAGTAGGAAAACAATTTTGAGAGAGGAAAAGAGAAATCAAAGATTTTGAAAGTTCAAAATCAGCAGCAAAAACATTCTGCCCAACACGTTTTTATTGGAGAATGAGAATTTATTTGCATTAAACACTGACACTAATTTCTAAAATAAATTCAGATACATAAGCCCCACAAAAATTAAATTCGAATTAGTTCGAAATTAATTCCTAAGGATCAGAATTAATACTGTCAGAGTACTTCGAGCAGTACCACGAACATGGTAAAACAGAGTTACTCCTCGGACAGTGACTCTGAATTGGAAGGAATATACGAAAATAATTTGGCATAACCTAACACGCCCATGCTCATTTTCAAATTTTATTTGCACCCCGCACGTGAGAGAGCCTCTATGCTATACAATTCAACATGCCTCTAAAAGACTCGTATATATATATATATATATATATATATATATATATATATATATATATATATATATATATATATATATATATATATATATATAGTGGTGCAAACCCACTTCCCATCAATGTGGGACAAGTGCTTTTAGTCTTTCCCCCTTTATTTTCCAACTCAAATGGATGTACTTTGAAAATTAATTTATCATTCATCCATTATCCGTTTTGAGCATACAATATCTGAATTTCTTAGTCTTACTATTAAGAAACCGAATCTACTTTGACCAGACCTAAACTAAAAGCTGATCTGACCCACATATATATGTACCACAAAATAGCCGCTTTCTATGTCAATTTATGTTAAAATTCTAACAAAAGCTAATTACACCGGTTTATAACTTTATTTTTCTTAAATCATCGATATGAACACTTTGAGAATCATTTAATTTCCTTATACACCTATCATACATTTCTAGCGCATACTATATTAAATTAAACATTTAAATTAAACATTTCGAGAGAACCTGACATGACATATATAATTTGAAAATATAATGTACCATACTCAAAAGATTGACTCAAAATGGTCATTTTAACTTCCATTTAGATAATTTTCAAAGATATACTACATCATTCCCTAAATTTGTTTCCTTATTATAATTTGAAAATATAATGTACCATACTCAAAACATTGACTCAAAATGGTCATTTTAACTTCCATTTAGATAATTTTCAAAGATATACTACATCATTCCCTAAATTTGTTTCCTTATTTTTGTGTGGGTAGGTGTTTAATAAGTAGAATCGTATTTTTTTTTTATGAGAAAAATTTGTAGTCATTACTTGATGCATGGTGTGCACAGAATAATCTCACTCTTTTGTAATAGACTGCAAATCAAATTATATATGAAGACAATGTGCGGCGGGTTCAACCAAAAAAATGTTAACAAGAATTGAAAATGTAATTAACTTTTAAATACGAGAATCATACTACATCCCCTTATAGTGAAGTTGTCCAATTATTGTGTAATGTATATATAATTTTAGAGTTAATACCCAAAATCGTCCTAGACTATAGTGGTTTTTCTCAATTTCGTCCTAAACGACTTTGGTGACCTAATATCGTCCCAGACTTTTGTGTTTCGCTCAATTTAGTCCTCCATTTGTTATTCCGTCAAATTGGTGTTAAATAAAGGGACAATTCAGTAATGCCAATATTGATCTCTCTTTACTTTCAACTCGTGAAGTGCGAAATTCCTCTTTCTTGTACGAATTACACCCAGAATTACTCCCGGACCTACAAATCAAATTTTATATTCACAGTTTTTGGAGTAATTCTGGGAGTAATTCGTAAAAAAAAAAAAAAAAAAAAAAAAAATTACTGAATTGTCTATTTATTTAACACCAAATGGACAGCATAACAAATGAGGGACTAAATTGAGCAAAAATACAAAAGTCTGGGACTAAATTGAGCGAAACACAAAAGTCTGGGACGATATTAGGTCACCAAAGTCGTTTAGGACGAAATTGAGAAAAATCACTATAGTCGAGGACGATTTTGGGTATTAACTCTATAATTTTATTGTGACATTGAAAATAGAAACATTAATAGAGGAAAACTGCCTTTTACTTTCTTTGTTTTTTTTTTGTTTTTTTTTTTAACATACAGAAATAGAGATTCCTCTTAACCGACTAATTATTCGAAGATTATATTTACATGTGGTGCACATAATATAAAAAAAATAAATTCCATGAACTTTATAATCTGCAATATAATTCCTCTGAAATGCCATTTACAGAAGTTTTGCACGTTAGTCATCTTCTTTATGCTATATTCTCACTTAACAATAAGCTCATAAAGGCTAATAGATAGTATGATTCCAGATTATATTCCATCTATATATGCACACAAAAGGGTATCCACCCACCCTACCACTCAATAATAGTACAAAAACATGAAGTGATGACATTGTTATTGTAAACGATTAATGATGACAAATCTTAATTTTTGGAATTTTTATTAAAATAACAAAAAATAAAAGATTGTTTGCCCAAAAAAAATCACAACTTATGAAATCTGGTCATGTTAATTTACAATTATTGGGTAGATCGAGGCAAGGATTGAGTCTAATATCTTACTATTGAAATATGATATGACTGTTGTGCAAATATAAAGAAATAACATTACAAATTTGCTATTAATTATAACTTTTGGTGTAGACGTGTAGTTGAGCATTTATCGTTACAATTGGTATGCTGGAAAGAAAGCATGCTAGGATTGCTAGCTACTTGGTAACCACACGTTTGATCCTCTCTACGATCTCTCACACAAAATGAATTTAACATGTTTATCATAATTATTTGTTATATTAATCTTGAAAATGATGCTCTTGCTTACATTGCTAAAAAAAGCGAAATTTCTAGCTTGTACACTTGGTGGCTTGACAGAAAGTTAATCACGCTAATTCAGAGAAGGATTATTAATGTCTGGTGTTCACAATGAGTCACTTTCACAAGAAGGTAAAATTCTTAGGCGACCAATTAAGTCTCAATCCCACATCTTTGTCCATAATCTGTCACAACCCGAGAATCATTAACTCACTTTCGAATGCAGGCATGTTAGCATATATGATGTGACATTTATATACATTCTTAATTCTCTAAAAAGATATTGGCAAAAATTAAATTTATAATATTTAAACTTGCTTAGCTGATTAAGATAGAAGGAAACTTCCTTTCATTCATTCCTATTCACACATTCAATACCTCCATAAAAATTCCATTTTTTTTTTCTTCACTTTTTAGTTTCATAAACCTCTATAAAAGGACACTCAATTCCTCCCAACTTCCCAAGCAACCACACACACAAACACAAAAGGAGACAAGAAACCATTTCCATTCACTGTACTCCTAAAGTCTCACCAAAACAAGAAAACATCAAACCTAGTAAAAACCTACAAACCTTAAAAATGGTGACTGCAGTTTCCACCTATGATCCGAGGGCAAATCTCCAGATAGGGAAGAACACCCACCACCCGAATGGAGGAATCATGGCTGAAATCGAAGGTCTGATCACGGTTTACAACGATGGACGTGTGGAAAGATCCTCAATCGTTCCGAACGTCGCCGCTAGTAGTCTTCCTCAACATCTGGGAATTACATGCGGGGACGTCGCCATTTTCGACCCTTCCAGATTATGGGCACGCGTTTATGTCCCTAGCGGCTTTCCGGCGGGGAGGTTACCGGTTCTTGTTTACTTTCATGGAGGTGGGTTTTGCGTCGGATCCGCTGCATGGAAGTGTTACCATGAATTCTTGGCGAATCTTTCGTCGCAGATTCCGTGCGTGACAGTGTCCGTGAATTATCGCCTGGCGCCGGAGCACCGCCTCCCGGCCGCCTACGACGACGGCGTCCGGGCTGTGGCGTGGGTGAAGCAACAGGCCAGCAAAAGTTATTCCGGCGCCGGCCGTGATAGTCTAAGCTGGTGGACGGACAAGTGCGATTTTTCTAGGATTTTCCTCGCCGGCGACAGCGCCGGCGCCAACATAGCGTACAACGTTGCGTCGAGGCTTATTAATAATAACACGACAAGCGCCGCCGCCGCCGCCAATGGCGGCGGCGGCGTCAAGGGTTTGGTTCTGATCCAGCCGTTTTTCGGAGGCGAGGCGCGTACGAACTCGGAGAAACATGCGGCTCAGCCGCCGTTCTCCGCCCTGACTTTGGCGGCCTCCGACGCGTACTGGGCGCTGGCGCTGCCGGAGGGCTGCAGCCGCGACCACCCATGGTGCAATCCTTTGGCGGCGGCGACGAGAATGAACAATTTGAAACTACTTCCGCCCACAATGGTGTGCATATCAGAAATGGATATTCTTAAAGACAGGAACATAGGATTTTGCGCCGCCATGGGGACGGCGGTTGAAAAGGTGGTGTATAAAGGAGTCGGCCATGCATTTCAGATTCTTCACAACTCTCCTCTTTCTCACCCCAGAACTCATGAAATGATGTCTCATCTCAGGTCCTTTGTTGTCCATCATCACTGAATTGATGAACATGCATGCATGTTCTAGCTAGGGTTTCCTCATACTGCACTGTACTGTATTCGCATTTAGCGGGATGAGATTAATCCAATTGAGTATCGTGTTTGCTCGGATGGGTTGTTTTGTTTAAGTTTTAAATGCATGTATGGAAAACAAAATTGTACTCCTTAGTATTAAGACTCTACCAGTCCATGTTCTATTGTACTCTTCCTATGTATATAATTGTTGTATCTCGTGACTATTTATGATTATTCCAGAAAATACAGTTTTCATATGGTATCAGTAATCTAGGATTTCTACGACTACTCAGTATTTAGCCAATGATGATTTTATCGGTTCTTCCGAATAGACGGTCTCAGACATGGTTGCGTCCTCGTTGCATGTGGCGACAAACTCGTTGTCCAAAGCTCATCATTTTGTTAATATAAAATTGACTACAAGAAATTTAATTTTTTGTTCTTATGGACGAAATTGGTTCTGTTTTTACGTGGCCAAAATTACAGAAATACACATTAAGGGGAGTGACATTTTTTGTTTTCTTGGTTGGTCAAACATTACATCATGTACTCTTGTATTGGTATATGAATTGAATTGCCTTGTCGGTAGCTGATTCAATTTAAAGCATTGCACGTGTAAATTCAGACATAGATATATATAGGTTTGCTCCAAAATGTACAATGCTATAATTAATGTTCTTTACGTTCAATTTTATATGTCTGATAAGGTATTTATGCTTAACTTTTCATAATATTTAACTCAATATATATTAGTATATATAAGATTTACATATATATTTAGAAACGGTATTAAAAGTATTGTTAATTAAACGCAAATCTTATAAATTACATTTTATAAGGAAACATAAAATAAAATAAGAAATAATAATTTTTTTGATGAATGAATACTAAACATAACAAGTAAATTAAATTAAATGCAACGACAAATATAGTATCGGATAAGAGGTGGTGGGTGGTATAAGTAGAAATAAATTGAAATTTTTGTACTACTAAATGTGATCTGATTTTCAGAAGTATTACAAAATTTTTTATGTGAGTAATTACATATGTACAGGGATATAATTATTTGATTTGATACTATTACAAGTTTGAATCCATATTCCATGTAGAATGACAAAAGTAGATCAACAAACAAGAGAGTCAAAATAAAATTCAATAGCTCCAAAAGGGTGGTCAGATTATGATTTTCGTATCTAAAAGTTACGAATTCATTCTTGTCAATATCTTTTTGGTCAAGCCCGTTACATGCTGGGGTCTTCCTAACTAGTGCAATTTACTTCTTTCGTATGATTTATGAGTTATATATTACAAAAAAATATAATTTACCTAATTCGCACGTTTAAGTAACTTCTGCTATTTTTACTCTTCACTCCAAAAAAAAAATCTGATATAAAAAATGTCAAATCATACACTACCATAGTGATTTACCATTGTGGTAAAGACCAATATTAAGGTCAGGTTGTAACAAATTAAATAAACCAAAAAAGTGCGGACAACTATTTTGGCAACAAGACCCTACTAACGGCCAATATATACGGAGTACTCTTTTTGCTTTTGTTTTCTTCCAACGTGTACCATACTAGACATGACTCCACCAAATTAATTGATATACTCCGTATTATTAAATTAGAATATATCTTTTAATTAGACAATCGAGTAATCATAACATGCTATACTAAGGGACATTTTTATCCATCAACTCATCTTAAAATACGGAAAACGCTTAGTATCTTTCTAAAAAAGTAGTACTATCGTCATTGTTGTTGTTGAATGACAAAATAGAAAAAGAAAAATGCTAAGAATCACTTCAATAAGTAATACTCTAGCTAGACATGATTCACTAGTTAACCACTTTCTAGCATTAAGAGTAAATTTTTTTGGATGATTTATTCAGTGCCAAGGGAAAAAGAGAGTGAAGAGAGGAGAAAAAAGAAGGGAAAAAAATTTCCTTAAAAAGTAAAAAAAAAATGTAACATTTACGTAAGGGAAAAAGAGAGTGAAGAGAGGAGAAAAAAGAAGGGAAAAAAATTTCCTTAAAAAGTAAAAAAAAAATGTAACATTTACGTGTCCAGCGATGTGTCAATGCACCCAATGAGAGTAATTGGTGTGACATTTCTTCCTTTTCTTTCTTACAAATAGACCCTGAAAAAATTTGATTTTGCAAGATTACAAATTTCTCTCTCATTTTACATAGTTACATCCACCTAACAAAATTTACAAAGATGGAGTTGCTCTAAAGAGCATTGTTTGATAAAGAGAAATCACAATTCCTTTCACACTTGATTTCAAGTAGAAAATTTCACTATTTGATAAAAAAGAATTACAATTTCATGAAAGAATTAAATTTCACTTTTAATCCCTTGGCTATTGTACATGTATCAAATTTGGTCATTAATTATTAATATTTTCAAATTAAGTATTTTATGTAATTTGTATCACATTTGATTCTACTGTCCAATTTTCTGGCCAACTTTGTCAAAATTTCAACGAAAAAGTAAATTTTCTGGCTACTAGTTGACCAAAAATACTTTTTTATTAGAACATATTACTTTTTGTTGAAATTCTAACAATAGTTGGCAATATACTTGTCAGAAAATTGGACAACAGGACCAACTGTGATACAAATTACATAGTCATGCACTTAATTTAAAAATATTAATAGTCAATAACCAAATTTAATACACACACAATAATCATGAAACAAAAAATAAAAATTTTTCTTCATGAAATTACGATTCTTCAAATTTGAGAAATTGCAAATCTCACATCTCGCTTAAGAATTGCATGATAATTGGTAATAAAATTTCACAAATATCCATATAATCCCATCAGCTCACCCTATCGAAGTGTCCACGCACAAGTACACCAAAAGTAAGTGCTAATATTGGGTGGAGTGGACAAGAAGAGCTTCCTTTCACGTGAAGCCCAGTGGGGTGGCTAATGGCTTGGACCACATTCACACACATCATCTCAATTCTCAACGACGAGCCTTTTGTACGTCATTTATGTGATTAGACCACCCACTCTCCCTAAACTACAGGCAACGCCATATACTGATTTCAATATTTCGTTCATTACATTGTAATACTCCCCAACTCCAAGGGAAGTCAATCCTTCACCTTATGTCTCGTTTGGCAGTATTTAGCATCTTTTTTTTTGTTTTTTTCAACAGTGCTGGGGGCCAGGGAAAAAATATTCTTTCAAAATTTACTTAGCATATAGTCCAGGTAATAGAAAAGTGTCATAACTGCTATTCATGAATTATAAGCTACGTAGTAAAATTTAATCTACCTGGCAAAGTGAGAAAAAGTTGAATAGGTTTCAAAACTGAGAAGTTGAAGGTATAAGAGAAAAGAGTGCTTCTGTACGTGATTGCTAATCATCAAACTCATGCATGTGATCTAAAAGATAGTTAGCTGCCTGCTCCTCATTTTTGTTGCATGCAAAAAACACTTGCAATACCAAAGCTTGATCAAAACCCATAGCTTCAAGCTGCCAAAATCAGATCAATAAATCACTAATAATACTAATAAGTGGACTGACAGATAGACATTGAAAGAATGAAGGAATCATAAATTTTGCAAAGCCACAGTGTACAAATCTGTGGCCTAACATTCTTGTATAATACATCATAATGTAGGAAAAAAAAAACATAAGCTACAAAGAGAGATACTTACGCGCTCAATTGACTCACGCTCTTCAGGAGTGACAGTGACAGCTTGTGGCAGTCCTCCAGCCATCTGACCAAATATGTTCCTATGAAGTGTCATAGCAGAGAATAACTGAGATATGGATCCAACATAAGAGAACAAATATCTTAGGACTACTAGAAGCTAATGACTAATGAGAGTTAAAATCAGATGCATCCATCTTGATGTAGACAAATGGTAGCAAATCTGCTCACCCCCCCTCTCCTTCAACAGGTTCATTGACGAGGCGTAGGAAATCAGCCCGATGTTCTTGAATAAGCTGCAGAAGCTGAGGGTTTTGCTTTCCCAGCTCCTGAAGCATAGCCTACACACGAAATAATCCATTTTTCAAAAGCTTGATTGAAAACACTCCAAAGCATAAACAATTAAATACGTAGATAGTATGAAACTAATACCGGCAAGATTTGAGGATTGGCTTGCACCATGGCTCTGAGGGTCTGGAACTGTTCAGGAGAAAGAGTAATCACCAACTATTCTTCTCACTTGTTGCTAAGTTTTTTTTTTTTGTTTGTTTGATGGGTATATCAGTTATGGGCAACTATTTCCAAGAAAAAGTATGTAAATACCTGTTGACTATTGCGTAGGAAATCCAAATTGCCAGCACTTGCATTGGAACCCACATTTGGAAGGCCCTGATTAAGCAACAGAAAATTTTCAATCAAATAAGAGGTGAGGTCTAATGAATTAGTTCTATAATGAAATAGCTGTTAGAATATACTATACCTGTGGGAATAAATTCAAAGGATTGGCATTTGGGCCACTGGAAGGTACTGTTTGTTGAGAAGGCACAGTTGAGGAGTTCACAGTTTGCCCACCGGGAGTTGTGGTAGCTTGTGTAACAGCTTCGGCTTGCTCAGGAATACCCTGAAGCAGAATGTTTCTCGGGTTAAGGATAAGAGACTAGGATAGAAAAGCATAATACTGAATTGGTGAGTAAAACAGCCTGAGCTAATTCCAATATAAAAGTATGTGCTCTTCTGTAAAAAAATATTTTTCAGTGTAAAAGAAAAAGGTAAGAATTCCACTATAAAAGTCTATAAAACTTCTACAAATAAAATAAAATAAAAACCCACAGTTGAAGCTTCCATAAACACAAAAAGAGGGAGAGTACTGGAAGAAAGAACTACACAAAAAAGGCTTACATAATTTGCTGAGCACTTGTATCAAAATAATCAGCATATTTATGAGCCAAAGTACAGTTACACAATGAAATATGGATGTGGGACCCATCCTGTAAGTTCTTTTTTATTTATTTATTTTTTATACTATTATATGCTTTGGATTGGTATCTCAAAAACTGTACATACCGAATACAAGTAATCAACAGCTCTCTCGGGATTGTTATAGGCAGCACGCAAAGCACGGACGACTCTATCCCGGTCCCAACTGCCCCCACCCATATCAAGAATTTGTTGAATTGTGGCCTCTAAGTTACTTCCAGCTACAAGATTTGATGCTGCTTGACCATAGATATCTGTCACAGAACTAAACAAAAAATAAAAAAATAAAATAGTTTCCTTACAAAGGTTACAGATCAAATTAGCTAAAAAGAACATGTTTATCAAAATAAATGTATGATAAGTTCTCACGCAGTAGACACTGGAGTTGCAGCAGGAGTAGGGGCAGATTCAGGAGCAGACTGTGGACTGCACATGAAAGCAGGCAAAAATTATACCCAGAAGAAATACACAACTAATCATGACAAAAAAATGTGATGAATGGGAGCTTACGGTGCCACAATAGAGGCAATAGCTGGAGGCGCTGTCACCGTCTGGGTTGATTGCCCTGTGGAGGTTGCAGGTGTGGCCTAGATAGAAAAAAATTGCCCATCAACTAATGCGTTTGTGGTGAATACAACCAGAGTTTGCACAAAATACAGATCATTTTGGTCATTAAAGAGGAAAACACTGAAGGTAAAGGAAACGAAGAAAAGTAGATTCATTCTCACCGCAACAGAAGGTTTTGATGAGGCTTCACCTGATGAGGCCTTATTCTACAATGGTGGACAATGTGAAACGGTCATTACTACAGTAAGTACTCAGATATAACTTTTAAATGTAAAGGACATTGAATGAATCTAGTTTCAACAGTATACTAGACATGCAAACAAAGTTTTTTAGTTTAAAACAGAGTGTACTCATAGCCCTCTATCCAAATGTAATTCACCCCAAACACTGTCAAGGTGAACTTAGAAATGTGTTCGTTCAAAAAGATGCTTGAAATTCTTATGAAATGGTACCTTAGTCAGCATAACAACAACATAATTATTTTCAGCAACTTTATTTTCTTCCAATGTTGTTGTGTCCTTGAGAACTTTACCCTGATGGATAAGCATCAGCTGTGCAGCAGGGTAGACATCTGAGCCCTGAACTGTTTCTATAGTTTTCTTCACATCAGCAATCTGAATTAACCATCAACTATGTCAGCCAACACAATAATTTTTTATTTTTTATTTTAAGTATAGGGTGTGTTTGGTTCGCACATGGGAATAGGAATCAAATACTTGGTAATGGTAATGAGTTTTGGTCAAAGTATTTTGCATGTTTGGTAGTAGGGTGGAATTGGAATGATTATAAATATTGATGTTTGGTTGTGTATAACCCTGTAATGGGAATAAATGTTTTAAAAATACAAAAACAAAAAATCAAGACAATTGATCCTAATATAATGACATCCAAATCATCAATATGAACAAAAAAAAAAAAAATCAAATCAAAAATCTAAAAGTACTAATTCAAACTTAAAAATTAGATCACCAATAAGATGGAATGATACCACTTTTTAATTAGGGAATGAGATTTTTAATTGAAGGGGTAATCAAATCCCATAGTTGTATTTTAAAAAGTTGTCAACCAAACACTAACTATGATTTTGATTCCCATTCCTAGTGTGTAAACCCATGAACCAAAAACCCCATATTTTTAACAGATGTTTGCACAGTTATTGTAGTTGAAATAGAAGTGTGTGAATGATTCACTGCTTTTAGAAAGCTAGAATTAATACCCCTGGCAAGACAAGCAATTTGGACCTGGACAGACAAAGTGTCAAATCTGAGAAATCATTTTCAGTTATAACTTATCTTGCATTCAAGTGTCAGACATAGGGGAGTAAAACATAGTTACATATCAACTGAAATGCTGAATCAATAAACCACTTTAAGGAAAGAGCGGAAAACAACTAATGATGAAATCCAAGCAAGCTAGAATTAAGTAGCCTGATCTGCCATCACAAGGCATTATAGATTGGGTGGTTGTGCAAAGACATTCTTGAAAATACACTGTAGATGTCTCCAAACTTCAGCAGTTAAGCACCTGATAAGTGCAGCACTCCAATAATTGCACAACTTACTGCTAAGGCTGTAAGAGTGTAAGACAATACACCACCCAATTCGGTTATTAAGAACTGCCTGAACTACGAATAAGTTTGCAGTATTTCTTCACTTTACAGGTATATATAAATATAATACTCCTTGTAATGGAATTATATGGCAAAATGTGATCAGTGAAGGAAGATCGACATTCATACTGGCGCAACTAAACTTGATTTTATGCATTATATTTTAGTGCGGACGGAACAACAATGCATAGTATTCGTAACACCTCATTGAGACCTAGAATTAGAAACTAAACAACGGCTCATAACCCTAACATCATCCAATTGACCGATCAATGATTCAATTCAACAAAATTTACACAACTCTGGAAGCGTTAACAGACGCAAATGCACACACACATCGATACATACACGTAAACATATACAGAGGTAGAGCGGAAGGAATACGTACGGTATCGTCAGGTTTAACTTCGATCGGGAAGTGAGAACCTTTCAAAGTCTTTATCAAAACCTTCATCCTTCGGCAACTCGCTTTCGCACAGTTAAAACTGCCGCCTGAAACCTCAAGAAGTCGCCGCGCCGGCGATTCCTGAATTTTCTTACGCACAAAAAAGAAAAAGAAGAAAAAAAAATAGTGTGTAGAAGTCACAGTGAAATCGTGAAAGCGGTAACTGGGTCCATGTCGCGCTTTATATAGTAATATATAAAGAGTGGGCAATTATTCGCTGACGGTACGGTACCTGACAGCCTTTAGCTACCGCCAATAGTCTCTCGCCACGCTGACAAATAATATCTACGTGGTGCTGACTGTTGAGGTGGGCTTGCGGAACTTCCGGGTTTACAGTTAGGTGAATCCTGATATATACTACGTATTTTATTTTTTTTTTTGGGAAGAAAAGATATATTTTTTGAAAACCAAAATATTACTAATTCATATCTCAAAAGTAAAGCATTACAGATGAAAGGAGGAGGTGATAAACTCACTCTATGCAACCAGACAAATAAATAAATTCCCAGTTTAACATAGGAACAATTTCATTTGTTAATCGTCTAATAAAAGATATAAACACATTACTAAAAATATGAACTGTATCTTTAACATTAAGCAAGACAAGATTAAAAAAAAAAAATTGAATCTCCAAGAACCACTTGCAAAGTTTCAATTTCCACAAGAATATTGTCAAAATTCTAGGATTTCAGCCAGCTTAAAGCTTCACAAATAGCAATGGCCTTAAGCGTAAAGACTCCATTCCAGACAACACAGTGTGCTGCTCTAAAATTGCTTGAACTGTCTCTTAGAACCCATCCCAATCCCATTCTTCTTCTTCCCACATTAATTACAGCATCCACATTAAGTTTCAACCACTTCTCTACGAAAGCAGGGATGATATGATCTTCTCCTCTTTTAACCTCCCACCATCCATTGAGACGAACTCTTGCTCTCTCCAATACCAACTTAGCAGAGGTCGGTACTTCTATTATGGCCAGCGGATAATCGTTCGTTAGTAGACAAATTAAAACTGATATTTGCTAAGGTTTTGCATATTTGCACAAAGCCACTCAGCAAAATATCAAGTCGTTAATTAATATCTACTAACTATATAATACATGATAATCTTTTTTTTTTTTTTTTAAATAAAAAACGAAGCTATTATTAATTCGAAATGGGGAGTAACGAAATAATACAACCAGGGGGAACAGATTCCCCAATACCAAAGTCAAACTGAGAACCAGCCGCCCTAACAAGCTAAGCCTATGGACCAACAGGTCCAGTGATATCTTAATTAAACCACAAACTAAATGTTCAAAATTAGCCATAATATATACTAACACAAAGACTGGCAATGTATCCCGTGTAAGATAGGTCTATGCATTTTTGTGTTAAGGGCACAATCTGATTCCAACTTCACCGTAGTGGTGGTACCGCAATTCCTTAACCACGAAAGGATCTCTTTGCATGCCATTACTTCTGCCATGTGAGGATCAAATGCTCCATGAAGTTTTCCATTCGTAGTTGCCACAAAGGTCCCATTATTTGTGAGTAATACCGCTCTGTATGAGGCCGCATCTGCCGAGGTCCAGGCCGCGTTGACCTGACAAATGAGAGGGAAAAAGGTCCGAATCAAATCTCTGCAAGTTTCCTGCAGGTTGGGGCTCTAGTTTACCAGCATTTAATTGCCATGCATTATATTGCGCTGTGCGTCCGCTTCTCTCTGAATGTCATGAGGGGTCGTAGCTTTAATTTTTTGTTCTACAACATCTCGTTCCTGGCATGCCAGACAGCAGCAAGTAGGAAATCAACGTCAACTATTTGGTTACTTTATTGGCAGTCTCCATTAGTGCCGGCATCCACTTCCGAAATGAGTCGAGTTAAAGTGGATTCGGATTTTTCGTAATGAGACGAAGAGAGAAGAGATTGATATATTGTATGCCCAAAACGGATAATGGGTGAATGAGATATTGATTCTCAAAGTAAACCTATTTGAGTTGAAAAATAAGGGAAAAAGTGAACTTTTGTCCCACATTGGTTTGAAAGAAGATTTGCCCCACTATTTATATAAGAGCTCTTTTAAAACTTATTGAATTGTATATCATAGATTCTATCTCAATTTTGTGAATGGTTTAGTGTTTAGGCCGGGACCGGGCAAGTAGCCGAAACAGCAAGGGGCACTTAATTCATTAGTTGTTACTAGAGTTACTTTTTAATTAGTTCGAGTTTTAATTTTTTGAATTAAGACACATGTTAATGGTTGCTGTTACAGGAATGTGTAGGGGTGCCCTTAAGTGCCATAATAAAGGCTATTCATTCCTTAAGACCTTAATCCCTATATAAGAATGAGTTAGGTAGTAGCAGATTTACACACAAGAAATTATTTTTCTGGCCTCCAAACTCTCTGTCTCTAGTCTCTACTCCTTTCTTAAGCCAAACTGTGTTCATAATCTTGATCTAGTTCGCCGGATTCCTTGTTTGGGTGCTCAAACATTGAATCCTATCAAGTTTTATCCTGGGAAGCATATGCTACAACGCTCCTAGCACTTGTAGGAGGTAGCAAATAAGCTTTTAAGGAAAAAGTGATCGCTTGACTCTTGCTAAAAACCCAACACCAAATACAAGCCAATCTCTTCATCTTTCCTTCCATATTTCTACAAGAAATAATAATCCATATTTTGTAGGATTATTATTGGGTTTTACCAACGGGTTACCCAACAATATATTATCCAAAGAATAATTTTTGTACTCGAATATTTTTCATAAATTGATTGTAATTAGATAGATTTCATATCTAATATATATAAACTTAGATTTTTTTTTTTTAATTTTTTTTTATTTTGGGTTAATATAGTTGTGCACGCATGGGCTATGTTCCCATTTTTATTAATATTATTTGTAATATGATTACTTTTAATTAATTGGTGCATTTTTGTATTTTATATTCACAATTATTAACAAATTTAGTTCTTTTTTTTTTTTTTGGTGTATCCAAGGTTTTTACTGTCGAACAGTGACTAATCTCATAACCATGGACCTTTGATTAAGGATAGATGAGTCCCTTCCACTCAATCACAGGTTAACAAAACAAATTTAGTTCTGTTTTGTTGTCTTTTGATTTAACAATAATATAGTTTTGGATTTTTAAAAAAAATATTTAATAGTAATATCAATTATTAACAAATTTAGTTCTTTTTTTTTTTTTTGTTAGTTGGGTGTACCCAATGTTTTCACTGTCGAACACAGTGACTAACCCCATAACCCTTGACCTTTAGTTAAGGATAGATAAGTCCCTTCCACTCAATCACCCCAGGTTAACAAAACAAATTTAGTTCTGTTTTAATTTGTTGTCTTTTGATTTAACAATAATATAGTTTTTGGATTTTTAAAAAATATTTAATAGTAATATCAATTACAATGGAGATGGTAATGATATTGTAAAGTTTGGTAACCATAAAGTTCTAAGGTCAACTTTTTGTGTGAATTGTCTATTAGTCTTTTTAGTTAGAAACCGTCAACGGGGTTGTTTCATTAAAAATAAGGCAAATTATTATGTGGATCATGGTCCATATAGTGCTGTGTGGATCATAACAAAAAATATATTTTTATTGTGCTAAAAGTACATCATTCGTATATTGAATGTACATTATACAAAATAACATATTTTCAGTACTCAAATAATGTACTTTCAATTGAATACAATGTACATTTTTAATATACTAAAAGTACATTATTTGTGTATTGAATGTACATTATTTGATAGTATGGTCCACACAGCTGTGTGGACTATACGGCTATATCTAATAGTTTAATTTGGATCTTCATCATTTTTGATCAGATATGTAATTTAAATATAATAGAGTAAAATTGTAATAATAGAGAGACGAGAACATAAGGAGATATTTGTTTTAACAATATAGTAGTCCAATTAAAGCATATCTTACGTTTACCTCCTCTATTAATCCAAGAGCAGAAACAATGGTGAATGCTTAATTAAGTTTGAGGTTCAAACTTATGAAAGAAATTTGATGATAAATTGACTGTTTTACCCTTCAATAGAATGGTCAACACTCCAAATCGATGATGTCTCATTCATGTTTGTCTTTAACTCCTGCTGGAGACTTGGGGTTATGGGAAACAGCACACTCCAACTCTCCAAGGCCCAAAAGAGGATATTTTCCCCAGCCCACAATGTGGGACGAAAGCGACAATGGCCTTGTTTGGTAAAATAGGGCAAATTATACCGTGCACAGGACGTGTAATGTATTGTGTGTTATGGCAAAAAATGATATCGTTTTGTATTTTTTTGTGTGTCTACTGTTAACTCTTAAAAAAAAAAACCATGTTTTGAATGTACAAAATTGTATAATAGAATACACAGAATTTTATACCTGAAAACATAGAAATTTTATAACTAAATACACATAATCTTTTTTGAAAGGATAATACACATAATTTAACATAATACATAATATACATAAACTCTTAACTCTTTAAAAAAAAAATCCATGTTTCGAATGTACAGAATTATATAATAGAATGCACAGAATTTTATACCTGAAAACACAGAATTTTATACTTGGAAACACAAAATTTTATAACTGAAAATTTCCATACAGAATTATATAATAGAATGCACAGAATTTTATACCTGGAATTAACAAAACGATGTCATTTTGGGAGGCACGGGGTGTACATTGCTATGTGCGCCCTGGTGCACGGTATAACGATTGGGTAAAATAGTTAGTCTATCAGTCAATTTTGACTTATTTAACTACTATTAATTTAATTGTTTGACTTTGTTAAAAAATCAATATAATTGTTTGGTTAATTAATTTTTTTGTAACTCCAAAATGCTAATATTCAAAAAATTGCTCAAAATAACTTTTTCAATTAGCTTTTTGATAAAAGATATTATATCAAACAGTTATCAACTAACAACTAATTTACCAAACACCTTTCTACAATCAACTAATGTTATCAACTAGTTATACTCTCTAATTAACACAATCACCTAACAGCTAACAGCTAACAGCCATTTACCAAACATGGCCAATATGAAATGTATAAACAAGTTATCTAAAAAAGTCTTAACAGTTGCAGCGAAAGCATTTCATGTAATATAATAGATTCCTAAGTCATTATAATTTATTCATTCACTAGATCG